AAAAAAAAAAACAGAGGACTAGATATCTCTCTCTTTAGTAGCACATTATGCCCAATCCCCTCAATATGCACCTCGGGGGGAAGAAGCAATGGCTAAATGTTTGTAAAAAAAAAAAAAAAAAAAAAAAAAAAAAAAAGCTCACGTGATCCAAAAGAAAAGCAATTCAACGAATTTTTAGATACCTCATGCAGTATAAGGAGGGAAAAAAGAGAAGAAATAAACAAGTCCCCAATTCATCACTACCAAAACCAGCAACCACATACCAACAAGAGAAAACAAAAAAAAAAAAAAATCTGACGAAAGGCACTACGGCTTATCTTGTCAGAAAAAAAAAAGTACCAAATATACGAAACACCGCATAGATACATATATATATTTCTCCTATCTTGATTGAAGGTAGTTGTAAAAGGCCATTGTCAAAGCCGCGTTAGGAGCTGCGTACGCTATCCTATTTCCTACGCCACGCCAAAGTGCACGGGGACCTTCCTCTCGTGCAACAGCAGAGAGTCCATCTATAATCCCTTTATAGTGGTAGTTAAACCCATTTACTGTTGTAGGAGTTCCATTCACTGATAGCACCGTCTGCTGTACTTGTAGGCGTGTCTTTATGAATTCCAGTGGATTTGTTATTATAGATGCAGCTATATTGCCCAGACCTCCTGCACAGAGCGCAGAGGTAAAAGGACCAAATAATAAACGTTCAGAAAAAATACCATTAAAAAATTCATAAAAAACAAAGTATACTGCGGAGTACGGTCCAAAAGAGGCCAGAGTCGACCAGTAACCCTTATATAACCCACATAGACCTTCATACTTCGCTATGGTCCGCAGGGCATCATAGCTTCCACGGTATCTTCCTGGTTGCGATGGAGGTTGTGACTGCAAACGCTCCTTCGCCACATCAACAGGAACCCAAAAGACACAACTCACCGCCTCCGCAAGGAGTCCGAGGAAAAAGTGAAAAGACCACAAAGGTAGGGCATTTAAAATAATAGAGTTATTGGCTTCGCGCTGTTTCTGAATAAAACTGCTGGTCCATTTGTATGTTGTCAAGTAGAGAGCTACACCGGGGGCTGAACCCAACGTGGCCACACCAACTCCACGGTAAAAACCGGCCACACCTTCACGACACCAAATAGAGCGTACAAAATATGAAAAGTTGGAAGTAACTGGTTGTTTTAAATTCACATTGGACAGATGAGAATCGCCAGAGAATCCTGTAAACACTACTGTTTTCATTGTGTCAAGGGGGTGACACAATAAACGGGCCACCACACCCGCAACTGCAGCATGCAGGATATCCATATTATATCCTTTCTTTTTCCGCTTCCAGCAATATCCATCCTTAAAATCAAGAATAATAAGAAATAAATAATAAAAAAAAAAACATATATATGAATAGATGAAGTGCAAAATTGAAGAGGGAACAAAAAAGAGAAGTTGGATGAGGGGAAGGGGATAAAAAAAAAAGGTGTAGCAAACCTCCATATGAATGCTTTTCTCTCACCTACTCTCTACTCATATAGGGCAAAATTCACTCAGTTAGAGTGAGTGCTTAGTGAATAATCGAGAAAACAGAATCACAGTTACCCACAGATGTCAATTAAAAAAAAAAAAGACATGACAATGGGCAGTTACTATATTTTGAATTTCCTCTATCTCTTTTCTTTTTTTTTTTTTTTTCAGCTTTTTCTTCTTCTCTTTCTTTTCGTTTTCTGTTTTTTTTGCGTTTTTTTTTTTTTGTTTTTTTTTTGTTTTTTTTTGTTTTTTGAGATGGGTCGTTTTCCTTTTTCTTCTTCCTTCAAAATCAAACCTATTTAAGGTGACACCTGTTTCTCTCTTCCTCTGTACACGTGCTTATATACACGTGGCTCAAATATGTATATGTGAACACAATTACCCCCCACTTGCCCGAAGCAAAGAATGACTTCAAAGGCCAAATATGCATGAGGAAACAACAAAAAAAAAAAGAAATTGAAAAAAAAAAAAAACGGGTAGTCTGAATATATACATACATAATATATATATATATATATATATATATACTATGTATATGTATAAAAGAAGAATCTTGGAAGCGCAAGGAGATAATTTGAAAGGGAAGTTGTAGACGAATTGCGCACATGGTTGTAGAAATAACAAAGAAATATCACTCTTAGTATCTTAAAATCTGTAGCAATAAAGTGCTAGTATACCCAAAAATGATATTATTGTCACTACCGTCACCATTTTTCGTCTTAAAAAGTGGTTGCCCCGCTTTTCCTACAATCAACCCCATAAAATCATCGCCACTACCAATACATACATGTGTAGATACACTAAAAGAAAAAAAAAGATGAACAAACACCCACGTTAGACTCTGTCCATACCTTCTCTCTTGACTCAATGCGAGAACACTCGCGAGGGGAAAACAAAAAAAAAAAAAAAAAAAACAAGTGGCATTCCTGTCTTTCATCACCACATGCAAAGGAGGTCCTCTTTTTTCCATACTCCATTCTGGTATCACTGCTGTTTAAACGCAATGAAGGTAAACAAAAAGAAGAAAAGAAGACATATCACCCTTAAGTACCAAATATCGGTTTCCCTAGAGTTCCCCAAACTCACCTTTTCTTTTTTAATATTTCACTTTATCTGCCTGTGATTATCCTTTCTCCTTTGTTTCCCTCCAAAGGCTTGATTGTTTGTCTTCTTTTTTGTTTTCATGAGTTGGAGTGCCGGTTTCGTCAACTTGCAAGTGACACAAATTTCCACAAAGCAGGTGGTGTACAAAAAGAAAAAAAAGGACCTTACGTGGTCCTGAAATTATCGCAGATCGTCTAATTGAAGTGTTTCTTTTTTTTTTTTTGTTTTTCGATTCGTTCTATTTCGTTTTTTTTTGTTTTTATATTCAGAAAAGATCAAACCAAGCTCCTAACGTCTTTGTTGTTGTTGTTGCTGTTGTTGTTGCTGCTGTTGCTGCTGTTGTTGTTGCTGCGAGAAGAGTATTTGTGCGTTAGGAGGGAATCCGGTGGCCCCCATGGCGTACTGAGTTGTTCCATCTGCAGAACGGTACAACATCATCGGTTGTTGTCCTTGACCAGGCATAAAACCAGCAACGTAGTGACCATGCATAGTTTGTTGAGCATAGTAAGGTGTCCCTTGAGCACTGCTCATAATAATTGGCATTGGGTGAGGCATTCCAGGATGGCGATGTTGTGGTTGTGGCTGCATAATCTTTTGCTGTAACTGTTGAGGAGGCACTTTTTGCATAGTCACTCCCCATGGAATAGGTATTGCTTGTTGTTGTGGAATGTGTTGAGGAGGGGCTGATGTAACCTGTGGCGGTGTACGTTGCCCAGAAACTGGAAGCATTGGAGGAGTTCCAGTAACTGATGCAGGACCACCAATTGCTGATGTCCCTGAAACTAGCCCATGAGGTGGGACCTGTTGTTGTTGCTGCTGCTGCTGCTGCTGTTGCTGCTGTTGTTGTTGTACCTGCGTTTGTGGTACCGATGGCTGTGATTGTGATTGTGGTTGTGATCGTGTCATGTTCTGTTTTACTTGTAGAAAAAGTTGCGATTCCAATGCTGCAGCATCAATGGGTTTTCCTTTTGTTGTTTCCTGAGCGGGTTGTTTATTTATTTTTTGACCGCTTAAAAGCATTTGCTCTAACTCTTGTGCATTCCACGCCCTTGGTTGAGTTCCTGATGATGGTTTAGAGGACTGAGAAGCTGGTGGGGAGGATGTTGTAGGGATAGCTGTTAAAGGGGTTGCAGTTTTCATTTGAGCAGTCGAAGGAGCTGCCATACCAGAATGTACGGGTTGTTGTAAAGAACCTACAACCACGTTTGGTGCACTGATATTACCTGTACCGGGTGCCGTCGTTGTTGTCGTTGTTGCTGTTGCCATTCCCGCCGTTGTTGATGTTACCGTAGACGCCCCTGTAATTCCCGAGGTACGTTGAACATCCATATTGTTCCACACCACATTACCAGTTGTTGGCATCATCGAAGCAAAAGACCATTGATCCTTTGAAGATGGAGAAGGTGTTGACCCCAGTTTTGCCGTTGGTAATAAAGAAATATCATCAAACGCTGAAGGGGAGCTGCTCGTAGGGAATACCGTAGAACCTTTACTACCTGAGTCTCCTCCAGAAAAAAATCGGGATTTTGTAACCTTTGTTGTACCATCATCACACATCGCAATGCTTGTCATCAAACGTTCTATTTCCTCATCATCATTTGCTTTACTTTCCTCCCTTGCAGCAGTCTGTGCCAACTGTTCTTTAGCCTCCTCTTTAGCCTCTTCCCTTGCTAAAGCTTCACTTTTCTCCTGTTCCTTCGCCATAGTTTCCTGTAACGCCTGTTTCTTCATAGCATTGCGCTCCAGCTCGTATTTATACCCCTCCTCAAAGGCCTCCTGATCCTTGTTGCCACGCCACCCGCGGGCCGGTGGGGCGAAGCGGTCGTTCCCTCCACTACCGCCACCGCCACCACCGCCGCCTCCGCCTCGCCGTCCGCCCCTCCCGTCGTTGCCGCTCTTCCCGCCGCTGCTCTCAGCCGCCGCCGCTGTCGCCTTCCGGCCGGCGGGTTCCCCGCGCGGGGGGTCAACCGGCGCCACCTCCGCGAGCGGCTCCGTCTCGATGATTTTGAACTTCTGCAGCATCCCCGCCGTGAGGGTGTAGTCCTGCACTTTGGGCGCCAGCGAAAGTAGCTGAGAGCGTGTGTAGCGGATCTTGTTGCTCATCGTCTGTTGAACCGCCACTCCTTTCACGTTCTCTTGATAGATTATATGCCCCTTTAGTATTCCTCCCTGGGGAATTTACGGGTATTTCAGAAGGTGGGGGAAGTAGAAAAAGAAAAACAATAAACAATGGAAAAACAAAGGAGAAAAAACCTCACCTGCTTGTACGGTTCAAGAGGAGTACAAAGAAATGAACCTGGGTCTTCGTCAATAGTGACACTCAAAGTCGCCCTATTTCACTTGGGGAAATTAAAAATAAAATAACCTAATTGGAAAGCGGGTCAGAAAAAGGAAAACCAACGCCTCTATGACGCTATAAGAAGAAAAAGTAATAAAAAAAAAAAAAGGCAATAAAAAGAAGAAAAAAAAAACCTTTGCTGTGCTACTTGTGTTGATACTGTAGAGAATACGAGTGAGCTTGAAAAAAAAAAAACGAAATAAAACAAGAGGAAAGAAGAAAAACCTGAAAATCATTTTGACAGTGAAAAACAATAAGAAAATCTATTAATATATATATATATTTTTTTTTAAAGGGAAGAGAAAAAAAAAAAAAAACAGAGAAAAAGAAAGCAAACGAGATAGTGAGAAGGAAAAAAGAAAACCAAGAGAAAGTCATCCCTTCAGTTTTCCTCAGGTGATGTTGCAATAAAATACCATTATTGAACTTCTTCCTCTTCTTCTTCTCATTCTTCAAAGCTCAATTGGACAATCAGCAGTCCCCAATTGAACATCATGCATTACGTTCCCAGCAGCCGTTTCAGGCTCCTTTTCGCCTAAATTTTGTCCTTTCAATACTTCCTGAAAACAGGGTTGAAAGTTATTTTCCTCCTCCTTACTCTCGTCACTATCGTCTTCCACAAGAACATCATTAGCACCACCCGTGTGACGGTTAGGTACCCAGCGGAATGAGAACGTCACTGACTTACTTCCTTCTTTTGTTTTAATAACGTCACCTCCGTCACTTTTAGTGTTTTCCACTGTACGTGTACTCATTAATCGTAAGTGAAGGGGACAATTATTTCCTGTCTCTTGCAAATAACGCCATAACACAGTATCTACCACTACATCCCGCGGACGAAGTTCTGCATCACATAAAGGGCAGTTCCAGTAAGAACCTTTATGACAGCTAAGCAAGAAAGACTGGCAATCAAAGCATTGAAGGTGTTTACAGGAGATTCCACGAATAGGGATATTCATCCGTGTTTGTAAAATAGGACATTTACTAGTAATAACAGGATCATCTATTTCTACCTCACCCATAAGACCATCTTCATCTTCAACTGCCGTTCGGTACAATTCATAAATTGCAGCATCACGTGAATCTTGTAGACCACTAAGCGGTTTTACGAGATTATTTATCACCTCATCTACAGATACTGGTTGAACAATCATAAGTGCCACTTGACTAAAAAATTCTCTTGAAAATACATTTATCTGCATTCTCTGAGTAGTGCTATTTCGATTAAGAAATTGTGTTACATCCAAAGGAAGGAAAGTTTTCGCGACCTCTACACGACGTTCTGGCCAAGAACGTTTCCAAGGTGTCGTGACACACTGATCGTTCACATAAACTGCAATATCCTTTGCTGTAGGCCAACGTGTTGGTATTGCTGGATTACGAAAAGGTGCTAGTTGTACTCGAAGTCGCCTAGAAACCACAGAATCCACGTACTGCACAGGAATTTCAAACATTATGGGAATACTACCAAATCGAAGTTGAAACCTACTTACCACGTTTAGTACGCGAGTAAACGGAGAACTTGATTCATTCATTAATGAAATTTCATCCTTCGTTACAGATGTCAAAAACGAAGATGATCCATTAATATTTTCATCTACTGAAGTACGTATTGAGTCATTAAAAGTTAATTGTGTTCCAAAACGATGCCCTTGTGTTTGTGATACTCCCAAAAGTCCATAACTAGTTGTAGGATAACAGAATTTTAATGTTTGCGATGTTGATGGTCTTACAGTGATTCGTTCTGGGTTTGCAGCAAGCATGACTCGTGGGGATTGAACTCGTTCCATCCCTCCTGTTGCCAAGATATCTTCTGAAAGAGGATGTCTTCGCTTCAACTCTAATAACCTCAGTGATGTAGCTACTGCCTCTGCCAAATCTTGTTTACGCCCCTTTACCGCCAATTTATCAGCCATTCTCAATTCACCATGACTTTCTAAAATAGCACGTAGTTCCATCACTAATTTATGTAAATCCTTTGCAAGAAAATGATCATGTAATTTCCCTTCCAGCATTACACGTTGAAATTCATTCTTACTGATGGGATTTGGAAGTACACGCTCGTATAGTTGTGTCCACTCTTCTTGTGTGAGACCACCACGGCGTTCACTAGCATCAGCAGAGTCCTCAAACGGCACACTCACACGGGAAATTCGCCTCCGAAGCAATGGACCCTCAGCACTATTATCAGGACTACGCGAACGGCCCCGCCGTGGTGCATTCATTTAGCATAAAGCCCTCCAAAAAAAAAAAAAAAACTTACTGTAAGTAACAGGAGAGAACACAAGAGAAATGTTCACCTGGATAATGAGGGAAAGGGGCAAAACAGAAAAAACAAAAAAAAAAAACAAAAAATATATATTTTTTTTCTCGTGCCCCAAACAACACACCTTCTGTTAAAAGTAAACCTAAATACACCTTCTTAGGTCAATAGCAAAATGAAAAGAAAAGAAAAGAAAAAAAAAAAAAAAAAAAAAAAAAAAAAAAAAAAAAAAAAAAATATATATATATATATACATCAACATAAACATATTCAGGCATACAACTCCACACAAGCACATGGTAACCCAAACGACTTCACTATAATAATAGTTAGAAGAGAAAATCAGCGAATACAATAAACATGGAATGACATACAGAGTGACTTCCAGGAAGCGTACATCCATTTTCACTAACACATAGAAAGGCTCACAATGTAGACAGTCGCACCGCGAAAAAAAAAAAAAAAAAAAAAAAAAAAAAAAAAAAAAAACAGAAAAGACATCAAAACACCCTTTTTTGAAGTAGTAAAAGTTTCAAATATAATTTCTTACGTCTTTTCACGGGATTCTTTTATTATTATTTTTTTTTTTCGCGCACCTCTCACTTTCATTTCTTTCTTTCGTGGCGACAAAGAGCTGCACCAAGAGAAATTCCAAGGAGGAATAAAACGTGTACATAGTTTGCGGGAAATAAGGAAATAAAGAAGGATACAAAAAAATCAAACATTTGATTCATTTTCAGATATTTAGATATGCTCTTCACGCAATCTGTTCGCACACAAGTATCTTCTTCTTTCCTTCAGGAACACAAAAACTCTTGGTCCTATTTACATGCAACCAAAAAAACATCCCTCAATCGTTCTCATTATTACCAAGACACACACACACACACAATACCACATATTCTCTTTCATACAACATTTGAAAACAATTCACCCGGATTTTTTTTTTTACCAAAAGGCTTTCAAAAAAAAAAAAAAAAAGGTACACAAACACATAATGCAGAGAAAAGAAAACCAACTTTAAGGCAAATAAATGAGCAAAGACTCAGAAAAAAAAAAAAAGCCAATAATCTCTTCTACCCCCTTTTTTTTTTTTCTTTCCCATTTTTTCCAGGGAACTGAACATGTTGTACGTGTGATGAAGTAGTCATAAGCATACAGAACATAAAAAAAGCAAAGGAAAAAAAAGGAAAGCAAGTTTCGACCTCACCTACCACGACGGAAACAAGAAGAAAAAAAAAACCATAAATAGGTATCACACATTCTAAACAAAAAATGAAAACTCACTCAAACATCAATATACTGTACTTTAAGAAATCATAACAATCCTCCCATCATCATAACTTCCCCACAATACCATTTTCGTGGCATTGTATAACAAGATCAAAAACTCAAGAAAAAAAAAAAAAACACATATCCAGGAATACTAAAATCCACGGAATTCAGCCTGCTGTGCTGCAGTTAATGGAGGTGCCCGATCTTCCTGGCTCTCAGGGTATCGCTCAAAGTTACTTGTGTCGCCGGGATTCTTCGCCTTAACAGGGATAGGTGCGGGATAATGACGTGCATAGAGCTTTTCCCAGTTTGCCCCATGAAAGTAGGGATGGTTCTTCACATCCGCTACGCCGCCCTTTAGCGTGCCCAATCGCTTTGTGTGGTCCGTTTGCAGTAATCCCTTAACAAGATCACGTGCACGGGCATCAAACCAATTTGGAAACTTGAAGCGTCCCGAGAGAATCTTCTCGTATGTTCGGAACGGAGTGTCGTCGTAGAATGGCGGATACCCGGCGATAAATTCATACAGCAGAATGCCCATTGTCCACCAGTCCACAGCCTTGCCGTGTCCCTTACTCTGGATCACCTCCGGCGCAAGATATTCGGGTGTGCCGCAGAGTGTGAAAGTGCGCTCAGGCACCTTCTTTGCAAATCCAAAGTCCGTCACCTTCACATGGCCCTTTCCATCCAACAGCAGGTTCTCCGGCTTCAGGTCACGGTATATAATATCTTTAGAGTGTAAATATTCAAAGGCAAGCACAAGTTCCGCGTGGTAAAATTTTGCCACATCATTTGGGAAACGTCCGGCAGAACGAAGGTGTGTGAACATCTCCCCACCTATCACAAATTCAAGCACAAGGTAAACACGTCGTTCATCCTGAAATGAACAGAGCATGTTCACAATGAAAGGATGTGACAGCTCCATAAGAATCTGTTTTTCTTGATTGATATGTTGTACCTGCCTCATCTTTAGAACCTCTCGCTTCTTTAGACACTTTACTGCGTAGTAATCATTTGTTCCTTTCAGTTTCGCGATGCGAACACGACCAAAGGAACCTGTCCCTAACGTGTCACCCATCTCAAGATCTGACAGTTTCCATTTTGAGCTGTCTGGTTTCACAAAAGTATATGCCTCAGACATGGGTGTGAAAATATTATTTCCTCTTGTTATACGAAGCCAACTCTGTAGAACGCCAGAAAAAAACCTTTTGCACTAATATGTGTAGAAGGAACAAAACAAATAAAAATAAAAAATAAAACGAACAAGGTAATAATGAAGGCAAAGAATAGAATATTGTAAACTTGAATAAATATATCATTTAATGAGACTGTACATAAAGCCACAACAAATGTTATAAAAAAAAAAAAAAAGATATAAAAAAAAATGTCGTTATTATCAAATATAGATATAGATATATACCTGTGTTTCCAGATTACATATCGCTTCTTATTATAATCGGAAAAATAAAAATGATTAAAATGCAGTCACTTTTTTTTTTCTTTTTTTCTGTAATGGCAGTAATATCAGTTTATGCCATAGCATCATCAATATCGGCGATATCGATGGTGGTATCTTCTTCTGAAAGTCGAACAAAATTTAAGAAATGATCTGGTCGGTGCTGTGAGGCAAAAAACAAATAAGGGAGTCCAACACAAACGTCAAACTCCGTAGATTCACGCCAAACAGCCCCCTTAAAGGCGTAGTTCCAACCACCACTGCTGGGAACAAGAAAGAATCCCTGTAATTCTGAAGAAAGTGTAGCACGACAAGGTGTAACGTGTGTTGTGTCAACTTCTACTGATTCCTTCTCTAATGCTTTTGTGTAATTCTCTAGGGCCCAAGATATACCTTCCCTTGTAGTTGTAAAACAACGCATGTTAAGTCCGTCTTGGGAAATTCCCAATACGGCAGTGACAAGACCTTCGGTTTGTAAACCCTCATTTGCCGCCAGAAGTCTTCCATGTAATGCCAAGTCTCTTGTGTGAATGATAGGCTCTCCACCACTGCATCGAAGTACACCAAGAAGGACAAGATGATTTTCAACAAGAGCAGGATGTTGATGAGGGATCTGTACAGGTGTGGTACACTCCACAGCGGAACCTTTTTGTGGAGGAAACATAATACACAGTACTTCCTTTACATTAGGAGAATCTGGTAAAGCCTGTCCAAAGAGATAGGCACAACACTGAGCTTGTACATCACAGCATGGAATTAACAATTTAAGAAGTTCTGTAGGGATAACAAGTTGATCACTACTTGCTACGGCACCTGTTACATCAATTTCTAAAGGAGTAGATTCATCAAATGCGGCCGCATCAGCTAAGGAACGAGTTCGCCAATTACTTGCAGTTGTAGAGTTTCCAAAATCAAAAGCTGCTTTTACTTTCTTCTTTATAGTTTCACCAGATTTATTAGTTACATTTATTACTTGTTCTTGTATTAACTTAGTCCGTCTCATCTCTTCTAATTCTTTTATTTCTTCTTCTTGAATTTCAACCGTTGTCATTTTTTTTCCAAGAAGAATATCTTTCTTTTCCATTTCGGTAAACTGATTTGGACTGACATTCATACGTCTTGCAGCATCTGCAATAATCATTTCTTGTAATCGCACTGAAACACGTTCCCATTCCATACGGGCATAAGTTGGCCAAAAATGTGAGTGATGGACTTCAACATGAAGATCTGGTACTAGAGTTTCCCGAGTTCGACTGAGATTAACATGATATCCTCGAAGGATAAGGTTTAAAAGATTAAAACAAGTAGCAGGTTGAAATTGTTGTAACCAATCATCATATAAACAAAATTCCCAACCTTTGCTTTCTGTAGCAGAGATACGTAAATCTGCTAAACGGCTATGTCGTAATATCATTGGAATAGCAAGATTAATATCACTCTGTCCAATAATAATATTTGGATAATCCAATACAAGCATATTATGTAGTGTTTGTCTAAAACGACTACGTGTAACGATGATTTTACCAGGTCTCTGACTTACAGGTGTACTTCGCAACCATGAAGCGATTTCTTCAGCTGCTTTTTCTCTCGCAAGTTTTGTACGTCGTTTTTGTCCGGCGAAAACGCTTTTATGAACAACACTAAGTTTTAACTGACCTGTCGTTGGTTCAAATATAAGCACAGCACCATTCTCTGAACGAAATTTTCTTCCACCTTCTGCGGTTGGTTGTTCACTTGTAACATAAGTGGCACTATCATCTACAATCCAAGTACGCATACCTTCTGAAAACAATTCGGCAATATTGGTTACAGAAAGACCTGCTTCTGTTGGTGCTGAACTAAAAAGTTGTAGATCTCTCTTCATTCGATCACGTAAAGTATTAAGGGCAATATTATGCCGCATAATAGCGGACATAAGTTTCACCATTAAAGGTTTTAACTGTGGAATCCAATAACCAAAAGCTGAGTGACAATTATAAGCCAAATCAATTCCAACAACCACACCAGCAGGAAATGGATACATTTTTGCTGCTCCATATTCATAAAATTTCTTCCTTGTATATTCTGCAATATTATGACTATCATAATTACCCCAACGTAATTGAACATCAATCCAAAATTTTCCTGTTGTATGGGAACGATACTCATCTCCAGCTTCATCTGAGAGTACGGTTGGTTTAGCTGTGACAGGCCAACGGGATGTGGAAACCATAATAACATCAGGTGCAGAACTTGTATAGGTATAAGATTTTTGTGGATGTTGTTGTTGTAATGTGACAGAAGCGGCATCTAATTCAACCATTGCATCTTTTAATTTACTTGCAATATCATTCACCACAGCACCATGACATTTTTCCCATAATGAACCACTAAAAATTTTAATAAGTGATTTTTTAATGGTTTCAAGTTTACCACACATAAATACACCAGTTGTATCAATTTTAGATTCAAAACCGGCTTGAACATCTGCTCGATTAATAGTTGGGGACCACCAAAGTGCAAAACGTCTATTAGGAACATTAGCAAGACCTGCACGTTGTTGTTTGGCTAATTTACTATCTTTTTTAGAGTTTTCAAATCCACCAGAACGATTAAATTCAATACCTTCCCATGATGGAAATCCTGTTCCTTTAAAAAGACTATGTTCAAGAATAGCCTCAACACCACCAAGTGCAATATTCATATCTACACGATATCGTTCTAATACTCCACCGCAAATATTACCATCGTGCTCTGGATGAAACCACCAATTTTTTAAATATTTACCTGCGATGTATCGTTGAAATTCCATACGACAACGAAATCCCTTATCAAATTGAAATAATTTAGCATGACGTGAAAAAAGAGCACGAATACGAGGAATACCTTTATTTATGATATGTTCAATATCATCAATAGAAAGACGAGTTCCAGCGGCTTTAGCTTCTCTATCTCGTATACTAAATTCTGTCCATGCTTTAACACCTTCTCGAATTTCTGTTTCCCATGGAGTATAATATTGAAGAATATTAGGAATAGGAATATCATCTGCATTTGTGAGTCCAGAATAGAAAAATTGTACACCTGTACTGGTGGTTTTGGAATAAATAAGATCACGTGCTGGAATAAGAGAGTGACCTACAGAAAGCATTCCAAGACCTCCTAAATCTGTTGGTGCATAAAACATAGCAGGAGGAAAACGAGCTTTAGATCTTGAGTTTAGAGCCATCATAACTCTAGATTGCATTCTATGCTCTGCACGGGCAAGAACTTGTTGTAACGTATCTGTACCTAATATAGCCTCTCGGTAATAAGGTACAATCTCCGTAATAAGAGCATTCCATTTAGCAGCAATACTTTGAAAAGTAGAACTTCCTACCATCATAATAGCACGTCTAGATTTATTTCGTATATTATTTACGTGTTCAGGAGAAACTTGAAGAAAAGCTCTTGCTGTAACATCTTTAGTAGTACTGTTTTGTAAACTCCACATGGATTCATTTTCCAGTACTTCTTCTTCTGTACGACAAACTGGTAAAATACGTACCGAGAAACCTCCCATATCAAATAGCATATTAGGATTATCTTTAGAATAAACACTTACAAAGGTATTACTCTCATTAATTTCACCAATACTTGGTGGAAGACGTCCACGAAATTCCCATAAAACAGCACGTGCAAGATTAACATCATTTAAAAATAAACGCATACGTGCATCTCTTGGCCATTGGTTAGCATTTTTAAATCCATATACAGATGCATTAAGAGCACGTCGTTCAGGATCATCCTTTGTTTCATCCAAGTAACGTCGTCTTACATCATCCGCTTCCACTTTACTATATTTTAATAATACATACACCTCATTCTTATATCTGCAATACCCACGAATAGGGTGAGATGTCGCAAGGAGAGGATCTCGCATAAAACTCATAAATGGATTTGGTCGTCTTGCAGGACCGGCAATTTCTTGACTTCTTTGTGTACCAAGTAGTAAAACATCCGTTACAAGTCCCCAATATTGTGCTAAAAAGGAAGAAAACATAAAACCACGTAATAATCCTTTACGACATTGATAACTCATGTCTTTAAACTCTACCACAACATCATGACGACTTACAATATACTCTACTAATGATTTATCCATAACAAGTTCCAATAAAGGACGAAATAAATTCCAATCTACATTATCATAAAAACTATCTTCAAGATCAGCGTGAAGAAGGACAGTAGATTCATCTCTTGTAACATCCCAAATTCCAGGACTATCATTTATACCTTGACACCATTTATAAACAAGAACTGGTACAGGTTCCATATCAGATGGTTTTACCCAATTAGGAAAAAGTCTTTGTTGATCCATAGCCTCATACCATAAATACTGATCAAGAAAAGAATCCACTAGTTTTTCTGCAGGAACTACATTATAGATAGGATAAAGAGTTGAAAAAGTATCCATATATTCCACTTCAACATTTTTAAAACGACGTACTCTTGCTAAACAATCTACAATTTTTGATAACGTTTCATGAGGAGAATTAAAAGCTTCTTCAATACGTGCTTGTTCTTCTCGTTGAGCTTGAGTAAGTCGATTTGCAATATTATGTTGATCACGAAGACGATTTAAAGCAAGCTCTAAAATTCGTAGTTCTGCAGGTCTAGAAATTTTAGGAAAAGAAATCTTTTTAAATCCACGATCACTAAGCCAATTTGCCATCATACGGTAAATTTCAGTCGCTTCTTCAGGTAAAATAACATGAGAATCTGTTCCTTCCAAGTAAGATCGTTGACGTTTTTGTTCTTCCATAAGTTTTAAACGAGTAAGTCGTCCAAGATTTTTAATAAATGCCTGTTTATCTACAGTATCTCCTTCATTAATACGTTTTCGTTGATATTGGGCTACACGAATATACTCTTCCGCTCGTAGTTTAACGTATTTATTAACTAAATCAATTAAAGGTTTTGCTAATCCTGGAACAGACCATTGTAAACCAGCACGCCAATGTCTAAAAGCTTCATTCATATGTTGATCCATAGTACGAATAACATCCATTCGTACATTTTCAGGAAGCATTTCTTTTAATTCACGTCTAAAATTTTCTTTTATATTAACATCCTTATCCGTTTCCACACGTTGACGTGTAATACGTTTTCCATCATACTTTCCTTTAGATTCACGTCCACGAAGAACACGATCTGTTAAATTTCCAAGATAACGTTGTAATAAAGGAGTCATACCACGCATAAAAAACACCCAAACACGCCATGATGGAGCCCAAAAACCACATCCTGGTCCTCTTAAAACTTCTCCCACATTAAATTTACTGTAAAGAACATGTTTTAAATCTCTAGTACGTTTAATTTGTCTCATTGCTCGCAGTTTATAGCGATAAACACCTGTTAATCGACCCAAATGTGAAAAAAGATAATGCGTTGCATCTGCCAATTGAAGAGCATCAGTTTTACCTAATCTATACATGGCATGCATATCGACAAGTTGTTTCATAAAACCCAAAAGTTCACGAATTAGATGAAATGCAGGACCTAATCGACTCTTTTTAATTTCTTTGGTTGTTAAAGTTCTAGTAGGTTTGGCTTCAAAATTATAATCAATATGAACATATGGTAAAGATTTTACACTAATTAATTGCACTAACATATTATGTCCTTGTCTCATAACTTGAAGACCAGCTTCCATCCAATCAATCTTTGTTTTTTGAAAAAACTTAAGTTTACTGAGTTCATCAAGACGACGAAGAGGTTCAGAAACTTCTTTTTCTCCTTCATGCGCTTTCGCTCGTACTTTAAGTCGATCTCGACGAAGATTCTTAGCCACATGATGTTTTAAAAGTTGTGTATAACTTCTAAGTATTTTATCACGTGTATCACTTGTTTGCAAACTTGGAGGATCTTGAGACCAATGTTCTGCTACCGGAATATCTATGCGTCGCTTCATCCCACCTTCAAAGCTGTTAAATGGTGGAGGTGCAAAAGCCAAAGTCATAGCTTGCTTCGTATCCACATCTTCTAATGGAATTTCCTCTAAAAATGGGATAAAAGATTCTGGTAACTGTAATTCTTCTTCTTCTTTTCCAAATCCTATATTTTTAGACTCTTGTAAATTTCGAATTGAAGCGGTGTATAATACACCTGGTGTTTCTACTGTTACTTCGGAATGATTACGTTGTAATGCTTTTATTGGGTTAAGAGAAGGATTCCATGAAAAACAAGGAATAGCAGGATCATCATTTTCCACACGAACCTCTGCAGGATAGTGATAAGGTGCTACCGTCACTCCATCCACAACATCACTGTTTAAGAAAGGAAAAGCAATTTGACGTTCTGTTAGCATAGTAAACCGCGGCTTTCGTGGGTCATCACGGTGAATTACACGACGAAGATCATTAAATTCTGTCCAATCAACATCTTCTTCTTTTACCGCAGGAGGAGCCTCAAATTTAGGTGCACGTGGAATTGCCAAATGCATAGCCTTAGCTGCATAAAATGATTTTAAATCCCATAAATAAAAATAATTTCGATCATCTAATGTGGGAAGAATTGGAGCAGCACTTCGGAAAAGACATTCTACTACATTAATAGAAAAATAATATCCATTAGGTCGTCTCGGTCCACGAATTTGATTTGGATGTACAAGTCGTGGAAAAGGATCATAAAACCAATCAATAATAGCAGCAGCATCTTCTTCATCAAGATCATCTCGTACCGCCGGTGGAGGTTCACGGTCCATAATATAATCTCCATAGTCAATAGGAGGTTCATTCTCATTACTCTTATGTACCATACGGCGAAAAGCTCCACCTTCTTCTTGCAATTCCACTTTATATGATCGCATCTTTGTCCACATAGATCCCCATTGGGCAAGATACAATTGCTCTGGTACCGTTGGTGTATCCTCAACAAGTGTGAGTACTCCTCCCATATGATACACTACATTTACATAGCGTGCTTCTTCCCATGGCATAGGCATATTTTCAAGTAATTTGTAAAGCGCCAAAGGAATGTATTTTAGCAAAGCAACACAGAGTTTTCGCTCAGTATTAAAGCGTTTCCCAGCAAGGTCACCATTGTCCTTTACTATCTTACGAAGATATTCTGGGGGTACTTCATCCTCTTGATCAACAGCCTCATGATAAGCAGCACGGTAACCGTATCTTCTTGAATTTAAACTTCTCCATTCTGCAATTTGATGCTGTTTATACTCGGCGTTATACTCATATTCATTTTCAGCAACATTGTGCTTAGGAAAACGTTCTTCCTCTGATCTCATCTACCACACCTTATTATTATTACTACTATTTGTATCGTGTGTGTAAGTGTGTGAGTGTGTGTGCGTAAATCCCCAGAGATACTCCGCCGCACTCAAAAGGAAAATCCCGTTTTTCTTTTATTTTTCCCCCCTTCCTTTTTGTGAAATGAAGAAAAAAAAAAGAAAAAATATATATAAATTGATAGAAAGGAAGAATAAAGATATGTAAACAAAAATAAAAACCATAGAGAAAATAACCCCCGTGTAGCACACTCACCCATTTTTTTTTTTTTTGTCTGAGGCCAAAAAAAGAGAAAATTTACGCAAAAAAAAAAAAAAGAAAAGTAAAAGCAATAGCAACAGTAATAATAGTAATAATGCATGGGGGAAGGACCCGCTACTTTATTAGTGCCAAGATTCCATTATAGAGACTTGCTCTACTATATACAGTTAAAACAACGCACAAGAAGTCAAAGAGCAAATAATTAAAACATAAACAACAAAAAAAAAAAACTTCACTATTTCACCATGAAGGGTTCACACAAGGAGCAAATATAGCCTTACGAAACTCTTTCTCTGATGCCGAGTGGGTATCAATGCGACCAAGATTTTGTGAATCCCAAATCTCGCGACAGTCTTCACACTCGTAGGTAATATTAAATTCATTCCTACGTTTTCTTCCAAATAATTGTGTTGGTTCTGAAAGTGGATCACTACGCCATAAAGCAATATCCATCCCTACAATATCATCTTCTCTAAAGGAAACCATAAAGGCATTACGTCCCTTCTCATAAAAAGGTAATGAGGAACGTGTCATTTGCAAAAAACGTCGTAGTACAGAATTATCCATTCGAAGTATAAAAGCCAAATAATTAAGCATTTTTCGTATTTTCACACGCATCGTCATTTTTTTCCGTCGTGAATCAAAATCAAAATGATAATCAAAAATAACATCAAAGTATTCATACTTGGCATAACGTGCAATACCAAAAAAATAACAAAAACGGGTATATAAACATTCTGATCGACCTAATCTATCCCTTGGTTTTCCTGGAGGACAAAAATGTCGATTAACACCATCAAGAAGAACACAAGTTTCCGTCATGTAAGAATCATCTACTCGAGCCAAGTTCATAATAAGACCAACAAGTTGAATATATTCTGTAAGGCTCCAATCATTAATATTTTTAGTACTTGTAAAATCAATTTGAGTAACTTTCATCACGACAGCAGCTCCTGCAAAAAGGCATGTTGCTAACCACACGACTGAAAATAATAATAACTTTAGATAATCCCTTTTAGTGAAGGAGTTTTGAATAATTCGAAGAGTAGTTTCTATCACAAACGCTGGAGATGCCATAGAAATAAAACGTAAAGCAGAAAAAGTAGATATTCTGTTCGTCAGAGCAGCAATATCTACAGCAAGACTAGTCCCCACATTATCACGTGCAACTGCCTCCACAATTACACATAAAAGAAAGAAAACAAAAAAGTAGACTATTGCAAACTCAATACAGAAAACAACTTTAGCCGTCATCACAATCCATAAAAGGCTTTTTTTAGAACTGGTGTCATGAAAAACGTTGATAGCCACAGTAATACAGTTAACAGCCATCATAATAATCATTTTTCCAATAGAAAACAGCTCTTCTAATTCAATAGTCCCTTCAAATGTATCTCCAAAGATATATTTAAGACAAGACTGATCCCACAAAGGAATACGATACGACTTATTTGTAAAACCAGCGTAACGCTGCTGTTCAAGACGACGACCAAGATATTGGGGTGGTGATGCCTTCATTACTTTAAGTGGTTGGTATGTTTCATCATTTTCATCCTCCTTTGAGAAATGAGGACTTTTACCAGAGTTATCGGCGTCATCAGAAGGAATTCTCTCTTCGTTATCTGTACCCCTACTAGGTAGTACGTAATATGAGAACGGTGGCACAGAGAAGACGTTTACTTCATCCTGTGAAGATTCATTAACTATTTCTGGGTTATCAATATCGCTCATATGAATAGTAGTATAGTAGTATAGTATTAGTAGTATTGATAGAGAAGCAATAAAGCAAATTAAATTAAAAAAAAAAAAAAAACCTTCTTAATCACAGAAACAACTTGATACTAAAAAGAAAACACAGCAAATAACCAAGTAAAAAAAAAGAAAAAAAAATAAATAATAAAAAAAAGAAGAGAAACACTTGCACCAATATTGAATAAAGAAGGATAATAACATCATAAAAAAGAAAAAAAAATGATAACAAAAAAAAAACAGTAACTCCTGTTAAGTAGGATAATTCTTTTCCAACCTTGCAAATACCTATATATAAATATATATATATATGCAAACTATATCTCAGGTATAGCCTTAAAGATATATGCATTAGGCTTCCTCTTTTCTATCTGTACCGCTGCATTAATCACATCAGGCCATCGAACTTCCCTCTCTGTACGACGTTGCATAAATCGTAAGGGTTGAAAACCCGCAAAATTTCCTGTACGAGTATAATGACTCTCGTAAAACCATTTTACTGGGCGAGATTGAATTCGTCTTTGCTTTCGGAAGTCAGCATCAGGAGTATCTGGTACATGTTCCTGATACTGTTCTTGTGAAGGTGTATTCTCAATTCCCCACTCCATGTTGGGAGCCCAAAAACGAAAATCTGCCCACTCCTCTTTCCAGTACCACGCCCGCATTTCTGACATTTTTGCTGAACGAAGTGAACCATCAGGTTGTCTAATAACGAATCGTCGACGTTTCTCATTTGTTGGATCTAATTCCAATTTCTTTAAAGCTTCATGTCCTACATTAACACCAATTTCAGCAAACATCCAATTATGTTCAGATTTATTGGCATGTTGACGATGTGGACCTGTCCAAAGAGGCATTTGACCATATTGTTGAACAGGTTCTCCAGTTCTACCAATCATCTCAGGAAACATACGACGATATACGTCATAGTTATCACCCCAATAATCTTCTAAATCTTGTTCAGTCTGTAAGAAACGATAAGGATCATCCATTTCCCAAACATTAGCATAACTTGCTTCTCGACGATTAACAAGATCACGGAAAAGAAATTTATCACTGTAAAAAGTTATTTTTTGTTCAGCAAAACGCATTTTACCATAAAAAAGACCATGTTTTCGTGCTCTAACATCTCTTATCCACTCCAAGGCAAAAAGACGTTTAGGTAAAGACCAATCAGGTTCTACACAAGCATCATAACAAGCTTTAAAATGATGCCAAACAAGAATTTTTCGAACTAGTGTAAAATCTAATCCATACATCTTCGATAAACGTTCAGGTGGCCATCGCTCTGGTGCTTTACTCCATAACGCAAAGAGTTCAGGTCCCAATTCATCTCGTACCTTATAATCTTCATTAATTTCATAGCGAAGACGTTTTGACATATCAAAAAACTCAGGTGTACCAAGACTTGTTTGAAATGCAATTTTACGTTGTAACTGTTCCTTATTATGGGGAGAATTCTGTGTTAAAGCTTCTAACCAAAGTATATCTACCGGAGACATAACTGCCAAAAGGGGACGAATTCTTCTATCAAAATGTTCTCGTAATCTTTGCATTCCTTCTTCATCAAGAGACTTAAACCATTCATTAAGAAACTGAATATAATCACTAAAGGTACAAGGATAACCAGCATCACGATCGCCAAATTCAAGTGTTCTCCATCTTTCTTTTATAATATTTTTTATAATTACTTCATCCTGTTTTGTCTCGACATTTGCTTCAGCAGAGAATAAATGTTTATTATTCCTATAAATTGCTATCTTTTCAGCATTACTTTTACTTGGAAGCTTTAACAATTCAATAGAAAGAATATTTTGTAAATACCATGCCCCAAAAGGATTTGCCCACCATGGAATATCATATCGTCGGTCTTTAAGAGATTGTGGCATATCCATAAATGGTTGTAATGCTTCATCCATGTCCTCTGAACGTGGACGACCTTGCCACAAATCCCACTGAGGAGCATCAAAGGATTTCATAGTACTCAAATCTTTTGTCCATACTTTGGGATCACGCCATTGAACTGGCTTTGGAGGTTCTGTTAAGACGTGGTGCTTCCATGATTTATGCTCACGAGGACCACGTTTATTAAACGGGTAACGACGAAGTATTAAACTACGACGGAGCATGTCTATCCCCTTAACGTTTTTTTTTTCTTTTTTTTTTCCTCCGCTGTGACTGTATGTATTTTTTTTTCAGTCTTTTTTTTTTTATTATCCAATATACCTTTACCCACCCTGAGGTTCCAACCCTACCCCACTTTGTTTTTTATAGACGCATGTGTACATTTATGGCAGAAAAAATATGTGTTTGTGTGGGTGGGAGAGATAGAAAGAAAAAAAAAAAGGAAAGAGTAAAGAAAATAAATATAGAAAAATTATATCAAGTACAACATATATATATATATATATATATATATATATAATTCTATTTTCAAAGAAACATGATGCGAAAATTATCTTTCGATCAAAAGAAAAAAGAAAAATCGTCATTGAATGGTTTTTTCTAAACACTCTCTTTCATTCAAAAGAAGAAAAAAAAAAAAAAAACTGTTGCATATCACGGGGGAAAAAAAAAGCTCTGCTTTACCACTATAGATGCGAGCAGTCAATTCAGAGAAATAATATGAGAACAGGTAAGGGCAGAATGCGAAATTTGCTAGCTGCGCCATGTATCAGAGAGAGTCCATTGAGTCAGATTCCAGCTAGTAAAAAGGGTTATAAGAAGCATACATAGCACAATAGCAGCTACAGGATACATTAATTTCTGTTGTTGTGTTAACATTGGAAGCTCCAAATAACCAAGAAAGACAACATATCCATACAACATGGAACCTATCATATACAATGAATTACTTGTCAAACACGCAAAAAAGGAAGTTTGAAGGAGGAAAGGCAAAAGTAAAAATTGAACTACCTTAGTCCACATAAAATATGGGAAATACCCGTTACAATGAATATCAAACGAGTAATGCCAATCTACTTCACGACTTACTCCATGCGTATACCCACCATTAATTAAAAACCGACTTACAAATATCCAAGTAATTGTTGTCAAAATCACGCCAGTAATAAAATAGTTTAATACTATTTCATATAGCACATTATATAATATCTGAAAAGGTCCCCCTTTAAGCGCTAGACCATATGCTATAACTGTAATAGCTAACGCCAATACCTGAAGAACAATAAATGCTGGATCATCTCGGTGATAATGATTTTTCGTCATCTTTCGCGCCCTACACATTTTACTTACTAACGACGGTTTCAAGCAAAGCGAATACATCTGTGATAAAGCCGAGTCAAGTTCCATCTGATCAACTTGAAAAGCACGACGAGCAAACTCTGGTAAATGTGTTACCCATCTCGATGACGGTGAGAGTCGTTGAGGTATCATTTCTTTATCTGAACGAAATCTCTTATCTATAAAAAAGTCAGTAACTAAAGAAGAAAAAAAAAAATCTTTAGATTCAATAAGAAAAACAACTTTGAAACATAAAAAAAAAAAAAAAAAAAAAAA